GCGCGCGACTTTAAGATAAACGATTCAGCCGAGATAACATTGTCCATCTGACAGCTCGCGGTAACAGCGACTACGGACCGCGGAGAATGACTGCTTTCGCACCTCGGCTAATGCCGGCGCATCTCAGCTCGTCGTTAGAAACGACGCGCGCGCGCGGAGAAAAAAGAAGCGGCCAGTTTCATCAATACGATTCATCGTCCGCGCGACGCCGCCATGTAGCCGCGTCGTTACTAGATTGCCGGACGAATAATAAATCAGTGCGACGAGCTGGCACGGAGGAGCCGATAATCCCGTGACACCCGTTGCGTTAAATAAAGCTAACAAACCGGAGTTTCGTTTTAAATCATTCCCCCGGCTTATAATTTATGGCGCGTCTACGTGGACTTCTTAACGTCGGGACGACCATGCCGACGTAACTTACGGCGGGTTGTCCATTTTTTGAATCCCGCTACTTAGTTGGCCGCAAGAAAACACTGTTGCACGTTCTGCATCATTAGCTACGCCGTGCCTCCAAGTGCACCGTCCTCTGCCACGGCGAGGGCCGGGGAAGAAAAGTGCGTCGCGTCGCGTCGCGTCGCGTCGCGTCGCGTCGAAGATCGTCGGGATTCGCGAGACGAGAGAATCATCGCGTGCAGCATGCATACGCCGCTCTCCGAGTGTGCTTTTTGCGCCGCGACTTTACGGTACACAAGCGTGTACCTGTACCTGCGCCTCCCCCTCCCCCCTCTCCTCGCCGCTCGATGCGATGCGTCTGAATGGTAAACTGGCACAACATTCACCGGCAATACACGCGAAGAAACGCGATAATGTTAACGCGCGACATCAAGTATGTAATTATCTTCGCTCTTGTAGGACGCTTTTTTCATGCGCGGGCATAACTATAACAGTATTTCATACGTTGCGTGTGTGTGTGTGTGTGTGTGTAACTATAGGAGAGCAACTTTTTTGACAAATTCGCGGTGCGAGCTCTTGCGTGTCCGGCAAAATTGATTATAGTTTGTCGCTCGGCTGAGCATCAATATTAAACGTACGGAAAAATGCATTCCTGGTAAGAAGAAACAATTTCTCGCCAATCCTCGCTCGCATCTCGCCAAATTGACTCGGCGAAAATGCGAAATCACGGCGCGAGATGTATCGGTGAAGAGGGAACTCGGTACCGATCGGAGATTCTCCGCAAATTTCACGCGAAAATTGCGGCTTTGACTGGACGAGCGGTATTTTCCGCGCGATGTAATTGAATACGCGAAATGTGGCGCGTCTCGGCTGCTTTTGTGCTCCCAGTCCGTTCTGAAAAATTCGCTATTTGTACCTCAGTAGCGATTCGCGACTGCGCTTGTATCATTATTTCTTAAGTACCAAAGTGAATCATGGCGTGACGCGAATTTCTTCTTCACCTTCTTATCGTTAAAGCCAAGCCTATTCGCGCGGAAATCCAATGAATCGAGCATTTAGCAGCAGGTGAGCTGGATTATACTTATGCGCGCATTATACTCGGCACAAGAGCCTACTCTTCCGCCACTTTTGAAGCCGGCCGAATGTCATAAATTTTCAAGCCCCGCGCGCTCGCCGTTTGTACGGCACATACAAAAGAGCGGCCTGAAATAAATAATTTCCCCCACGACAGATCAATCTGTCTACACGCGAACAAATCCATCCTTTCGTTTTGAATTCGCACAAAGGATCTCCGCGCGGGAGAGAAATCGCGAGCGCGCGTTTCGCGCGCGTGCGAAAAAAATTCGCCATTGAAATCAGCGCATAGCTTCACGTCGCGGTCGAACGAAAAATCGCGTGGTTACGGCTGTCGAAAGCCCTTCCATAAACGATCAACTTTTTGCCGGTCGCGCGCGTGTCGCCAGATTCGAGGCACGCAATAAGCAATCGCCTCCTCCGCGAGTAAATTATCGGGGCTCCCTTGTGGAGCCAGCCGGTGGGAGATTAATTTCGACGCGCGCGCGCACGCTTTTCCCCACGAGCCGCGCTCGCAAAAAGCCGCGCGCGCGCGCGCTCGTATATATCGCCCCGGTGGTAGTTGTGCCGACCACGACGCCGGGTAAATACGTAGTGGTAAACGCGCACGGCCACGGATAGATCCCCCTTTGCCGTGATCTACAACCACGGCGAAGCAAATCGCCGTCGCACGCATCACGACGGCTTGGAATACGCGTCCCGAGGCTTTCTACGCGTTCTTAACAACCGAGTGACCGAGACACGTGGATGTATATGACCGCGTCGTCTCCCGCCCGCTCTATATACCCCCCCCCTCCCTTTCATACCTCGCTACTCGCGACGACGTAGGGGGATCCGCGGTGAATCTCTTCTCCAGCGTGCACGAGCGCTCTCTCTCTCTCTCTCTCTCTCTCTCTCTCTCTCTCTCTCTCTTTGGAGCTCTCTCGCTCACTCGCACGCTTCCACTCTTATTCCCGTCCTGTCACGACCAGTCGCATCATTAGGCCATCCGGTATTACAAATGACGTTGAAGGGACTCCCCAGGCTCCTCCACCTCTTCTTTGTACCCACCCCGCTCCCCCTGTCCAATCCGTCCCTTTCTCTCGCTGATTGTCCCTCTCTCTCTCTCTCTCTCTCTCTCTCTCTCTCTCTCTCTCTCTCTCTCTATCTCTCTCTCTCTCTCTGTCTCGCGCTCTCTGTCTCGCGCTCTCTCCACCGCGAGTACTCGCGCCGCTCGGATCGGCGAGTCCTCCCCGACTTCTTCACGCGAGTCTATCTCCGGCTGGTTTGCCGAGTCAATCCGGCGAAACGTCGCTTTAACTGGATCGTTCGAACACCGCGGCAAAAAGCGGCAAGCAAGTCATAAGCATTTATGAGTTTCTTACCGGCGATAATAAGTTTGGAGCGATTGCTGTTTGTATCATTGCGCGAGGTGTACGGCGCGCCCGTATTTCTTCTGACCGGCCGACATTCTTCGCGAGCGAGCGAGCGAGCAGCCGCGTGCGCGGGCCTTATCTGCGCCTTCTTTTCCCGGCCGACGCTCTTATCATCAAACCGCCCGGCCTGACATTCGCGAGACTCGCCCAGTGAGACGCAGTCGCGAGCGCCCGTGACGACGGACTCTCGGTCGCGCGTCTGACCCCGACCGGCTTTACCTACTGCTACGTACCACCACTACTACTGACAGCCCGGCATAATCGAACGGAGGATCGATTCCCGCGCACGTCGGTAATGAACGATGGTCTCCTCTCAATACGTATCGCCGCATTAACCTTCACCACGGTCGTCGCAGCGGGGCCCACACGCACATCCATGATTCGTAGAAATCGAGCGACGCGTGATACAGGAGAGCTAAACGGCTGAGCGACCACCATTCATTGCCTCGTCGGGTAGCCTGGCACGCGGCTTCAATCCCCTTGCTGTCTCGTTCCGCGCGGCACATACCGCGGGCACAAAACCGCGTTTATCGTAATTTCCGCAAGAAGATCCGCCGTTTCGCGGCGACCGACCGCTCTCGGTAGCGACAGTCGCGTCAAGATGATTTAAATGTAGCCGTCGTGCACAGCGCTCCGATAGCGCGCGTATACTCGGCTACATTTAGCGCGCGATTGACTTTGACACGAGCAAGTAGCTCGCGCGCTTCACGGTGGTCGAGATAAAAGGAAACGAGAGGAGAGGAAACGAGCAGCAGAGAGAGAGAGAGAGAGAGAGAGAGAGAGAGAGGAAGAAGGACGGACGTGAGAGAATCTCAAAGAGAGTGAGCAACGGAGAGCGAAGGAAGGCAAAGAGAGAACGAGAGAAAGAGAGAGGGGAGGAGGGGGGAGAGAGAGAGAGAGAGAGAGGAGAAGGAAAGAGTAACAGCGAGAAATCCGTACGCGGGGGTGGACGCGCGCGAAAATAGTGGTTTGCGAAGAAAGGTCAGACAGTGTGTGGAGATAAGACGAGATAAAACCGCCAGTAAGGGCATAAAGCCGTTACGGGGAGGAGGGAGAAGGCGTTTTATTACAGCCGGAGGTATGACTCCCGGAGGATAACGACGTTACGATGGCTAAGGGAATCAGTGTATACTCCTGGAAAGCGTATGTAGCCTAATAAAAGCTCGTGGCGAATTTACAATACGCCTCGAGCGGCATCATTGTAAAGCTAAACAATGCCCCGGGGGGGCAACCAGTTTGGCGGAAATAAATGCTGCCCGCGTAAAAACTAGGGATATTATCGTAGGAATTACATTAATCTTCCGCTGAACGTGATAGACCCAACCCTTTGTCGCTTTTGTATTCCTCAAGGATTCGCCGAGTCCAAGTTGTATCAATTAGACGACGTTTCAAGTGGATACACGTGTTAAGACGTGACGTGACAGGAAGACGTGTGAAACGTAGGGGGTGAGGAAACGCGAAACACACGAATTTAATCACACGTCGTTTAAATTCCGCCGCGCACTGGTGCGATTCTGTAACTCGTTATTGGAGTTAACGACATTTTCGTTATCGTTGCGCAGCTTTTGTATACCGTAGAAGAGAGCTGCGCAACGATAACGAAACTGTCGTTAACTCCAATGACGAGTTACAGAATCGCACCACATTGAACGTGTCACACAAGCTGTGTCAATTCATTCATCAGTGATATCCGAAACGAAGGACCACGAAGACCAATCGGAACACCGTAACGAGCGTGAACGAGCCGCTCTGCGGGCAGCGTACAGAAGCGACAAAACGGAAATGAAAAACGACGAAGAGCGAGGACGAAGAAGACGCGAAAAGAGAGGAGCACGTGAAATGCGACGTGATTCGCAAGGTTGCGACAAGGTAAACTCAACTAACGTTGTCGGAGCAAACAAGCACGACCGACCGACCGACCGACCGACCGACCGACCGACCGACCAATCAGCCAAACAACCAACCAACCAACCGACCGACCGACCGACCAACCAACCAACCATCCGAGCATCCGAGCATCCGAGCATCCAACTATCCAAGCAACCAAGCGACCAACCGACCAGAGAGAGGGACAAAGCTAAACTAAAAGGCAAGTCAAAGCAAGTCAAGAAGAGCTAGGTCGAGGCGAGGCAAGGTAAAGCGAGTAGGGACGGGGTAAGGCAAGGCGCATTGGCGAGGCATGCTAAAGCAACGGGTCCAAAGTCGCCGTGCCACGGCGAGGCCCCGGTGGCGCGTTAACCTCCCGCTCGTACGCAGTACGCTCTCGACTCTCGCGCAGGCCAGGTTGCACCAATCCCGTCAGTCGATCCGCCGACCACGTGCATCCCGCCACGACAGGCGAAACCACGAGAGAGAGAGAACGGCCAGAGCGTCGATTCGATCGCGCGCACGTGCCTCTCGTACAGCGACGAGAGACGTCTCTCGGCGACCTGGACGGGGACGATAATGGTGAATTCTTGCCGATAAAGGAAGCTTACCGCGACGGATGTAACGCGCGAGTCTTGTCGCGAGAAACACGTTCGATCAATCGTCCCACGATGATTACAAGGTGAAACTAACCAGGAGGTGCGTCAGTGACGAGCGTGGAACTTTGTCGAGCGACAGCTTTCGGCTGCTCTCTCTCTCTCTCTCTCTCTCTCTCTTTCTCTCTCTCTCTTTCTCTCTCTCTCTCTCTCTCTCTCTCTCTCTCTGTGTCTCTCTCTTACCGCTACGAGGGATGAGTGTTCGAGTGTGCGCGGTCGGACAATCTGCCGAGGAGTGCTCACCACGAGTGCTCTGTTCGGACGAAGCTCGTGAATGAAGACGGACGTCGCAAATTAATTCGCGCGAGATTTCGATCGCCCTCCTTGCTCCTCTCTCTCTCTCTCTCTCTCTCGCGTGCGCGCGCGCTATCTATTTATCTATCTCTCTCGGCATCGGCCGCGAGCGGTTTTCGCGCGCATTACACCGTGACGCCGGCGGACGAATTTAATTCCGCGGCGGCTTTCTCACGCCTGTGAGAAATCGGCCTGGGTCGCGACGATTAAACGATGAAGAGGAGGTGGGCCGCGTCATTCTTCCCGGCCGGGGCGTTCCACTTTCGGTGCCGGCGCGTGAAATCGACGGGACGAGGCGAAAATGAATTCGAAACGGTCACGCCAGTGCGTGGCAGCACGTGAGCCTCGCCTCTTGCCATGGCTGAAGGAGCGACCAAGCGGCGCAGTGTAACCTTCGAGGGAGCGGGTCCTTTAAATTGTCGCGCTCCGGCGAGTTGCGGCGAAAAAAGGGGAACCGGTCAGAAAAACCGCCTCGGCGAAGATCGATCGGCCGGAACGGCTCGGAATAATTGAATTATCGAAAGTCCGAAGGTACACGGAGAGCAGTCCCGGTAGGACGACCATACATGGTCGTCGTCCTCTGCCTACGAGAAGGCTTCTTCGCGGAGGAAGAAGCGAAAGCGGCGTCGTCGTCGTCATCGTCGTCGTCGTTGTCGTCGTCGTCGTCGTCATCGTCGTCGTCGTCATCGCGTGGGAGGTCGCGAGCATCGTGCGCGGTGCTTTTTACTCGGAACGAAGGAGAGACAGATTCGTGCGCTAGCTCCGGAACCCACACGCGGCGATTTCAGTCGCGGATCTTGCCCTCTTCTTCTGCGACAAGAAAGAGAGAGAGAGAGAGAGAGAGAGGGAGGAAGAAAGAGCAGCAGCGCGAACAACGCGAGTGGGAAGCGAGTGCGCTCGATTTCGCGACCAACGAATCTTCCAGGAACGGCGCTGTGGTTTCTCATCTCTTTCTTCAACGCGTCCGCGAGAACGCGTGCCGCGACCGAAGACGATCGATCCGGATGATCGGCGGAGGAACGAGGGGAACCTGATTCGAAGCGAGTTCGTGCTGCTGCTGCTGCTGCTGCTGCTGCTGCTGCTGCTGCAGCCGCCGCCGCCGCCGCTGAGTAGCCAGCTCGAATAATTACAACTAGTTCGTTAGCAAACGCGGCTAAATCTTCGCGCGCGCGCGGCAGACCCCGCGAGTAAACGAAACCGAGTGAATTAGCCGACACAAAGTCACGAGAGAGAGAGAGAGAGAGAGAGAGAGAGAGAAAGCGAAAAGAAAAGGGAAAAACAGAGTGGAGAGAATAAAGAGGAACAGGATACAAAAGAAAAGGGAATAAAATGGAAACGTGCGAGCGACCCGCGAACCTGCGAACCAGCTGGGAAAGCGCGTGGAGAATTGCACGCGCAGTCAAGTGATCCACGTAGTCGCGACTCGCAGCGTTCACCTGTCAACGTCTGACATGCAGTCGCGGCAGAGCGCATTGGCGAAGTCTGTTCGCGGGGAAGTCTCGCGAAGTAAATCGCACGCCGTACGTTAACGTCGCCGTAGCTCGTGACGGACGCGCGCGCGCGCGCAAGCGCGCGCGCGAGCGAGCGAGCGAGCGAGCGAGCGAGTGAACGAGCGAGAAGTGGTTCTTCCACTGGCGGCGGAAAAACGAGGAAAAAGGGGACAACAATAAAAGCGCGAGGAAAGAACAAGAACATGCCGGTCGCCGGGACCAGGAGATTATGCAGAGTGGGACTCGCCGCGGTCCTCGTCACCGCGCTGTGCGTCTTGACTCTGCTGGACTCGCCGCCACGACTCCCGGATCCTCCGACCGATCTTCCTCCCACGCCTGGTAAGCAATTTTCCTCCTCCGGCAACGCGGAGGGCGCGAGCGCCGCGACCCTTGGCCTTTCGTTATCGCTCCGCGGAACGGTCCGTGGCGACTGCTGAAGGCGGTAACGCGGTGTATCGGCATCTAGCGGGGCTCTTGCGCCACCGCAACAATCGGCCGCGCGAGGATAGATAAGTCGAGAGAGACAAATCGATCTCGTTTCACGTGACGCGCGACGTCCACGATTGAATCCTTCGATACACGAGAGCGGACCGCGCGAGACGCACGATCGATCCCTTGGAATCGATGCCTCCGGTTTGCTGTTCTCTTGGGAAAAGCGTGTACGCGGGGAGAGAACGGGAGTGGAGTAACGATTCCGCGTCCTGGGATCGCGAGAGAGAACGCGGAGATTGAACGCGAGGGCCGAAGGCGAACCGAGCGTGACGCGCGCTGTCGTTATCGCGTACGTTTTGTCGCGCACTCTCACAGACTTCTTCCTCTCGCAATCTCGGTGTAACTAATATCGGGGAATGTTACGATCGTCTCTATTATAACTGTAATACCTAACTATATCTATTATTTGCGATAACTCGCCTCGTACCTTAGAACTAGCCTCGAGAAACTACAAATTACAGGCGGAAGATTTCTCTTGTGGAACATTTCGTCGGATTGAGTATTGTACTTTTTTCTACGACTTACTCAAGTTTAAAAAAAAAAGAACATACATATATACACACACATGTGCGAGATTCTTTTCGCGATGACGTGACTCTACAGTTTTGCAAAACTTGGGACTTGTGCCGTGTAAAACGAGAAATTCCTGTTTGCTGCGCGCGCCGTAGGCGCGCGCAACAATAACGCAACGCGGGCAGGTAAGGGGAGAGAGAGAGAGAGAAGGAGGGAGGGCGGGAGGGAGGGGGAGAGAGAGAGAGAGAGAGAGAGAAGAGAGAGAGAGAGAGAGAGAGAGAGAGACGAGAAGAGCCGAAAGAAAGTAACAGTAACAGTCGGGACTGACGTGGCGGTGCAACAGTGCCTAATTGGCGCGTAAGCAGAAGTACTTTCTCGGCGCGATAGAACGAGATTCGCACGCGATGAGTTTGTCCGTGGTACCTGCGAGCGATTTATTACGGGATACGCACTATTTCCTAGTCGCGCGAATAGTTTCTCAGCATTAAAGTGCTAACGTGCCCGCGGGAAATAAAGAGCCCTCTAGCTTTTTTAAACGCACGTTCATCCCGCGTAATTGCGCTTTTTCTTATGCTAACAGAGAATACGCGAGATACGTAAATGAATCGGCCAACGGCCGATACCGATCGCGGCGAGCCACGCTCTCTACGCATCGCGGAAAATTCTACGGGCTGTGCGCGCCGTGTATGTGCGCGCGCGCGCTCCCTGAGAAACTAAAAAGATAACAAGATAACGCACAACGAGAGGCTCGCGTAGACGCCCTCGCGCGCTCACGCCCGTGCAAAAGGAATACGCGATACGCAGTTATAAATAAACCGCGAAGCTTTGGCATAAAGCTCGCCAGGAACGTAAATCTCGGCGCGCTGTTCTTTGGTAGTAGCGACTTCATTAGTCGACGTAATTTATGACGTGATTCATCGAGTGACCGCCCGTCGACTCGTACGCATTCGCGTAATTCACCTTCGCTTCCTCCGTGCAAACATTTCGCGGCGATTATGACAGCCGGTCTCGTACGTCGCGCATTCGCGACTTCGTGCGTGTTCGCGCGCACTCCGCCGCGTGATCCGCCGGCTCGAAATTCGCCTTCATCTTGCGAAAAAAAAACAACAGCGACCTTCGTCTCTTCACCTCTCGTGCCACGACTGACTCGTCGGCCCAACATCGAGATCGCGCTTGGTGCGTTAATTGAAGATCGCGTGAAAAACGGCGAGCGCACTGCCGTTAACGCGGCAGTTCATGATCGACGTCCGCCGATCGCGCCGACTCGACGAGTTCCAAGATCACCCTGCTCAATCAGTCGAAGATAAGAATCCCCAGCGGACTAAATTAACAACCGACTAATTAACGGTGGACCTTGAAAAATCGCCACCATTTACCAGTCAACTCGGTCGACTAGACCCATTCTCCGCCCGCTCACAGCATTTCCATGAGAACGCCGCGCGCATTAGCGTATTTCTAGCATGGTACGAATGCCTCTCCCCCTCCTCCCTCTCTCTCTCTCTCTCTCTCTCTCTCTCTCTCGTAGGGCCGCGTTACCTTCTCGTAAACCTCGCGAAGCGTGGCCGCCCGACGTGGCCGAGGGGAGGCCGGCGGGTAAAGGGCACGGACGGAGTCACGAGGAATACTCGCGGCACGCAAACACGTAATACCGCCGTCGGCCCTCGTTGGGTCAAACGCCGACTTTTAACGACACACACACGCACGCACACACACACACACATCGCGACGGCTCATCACCCGTGCCCACGGCCGCCATCGTCCGGCGACGAAATCCGGGATCGCGCGCGCCGGTTATCGTCCGGTCTCTCGTTACCGACCAGCCGCTCTCTCGCGCGGATCGCATCGATCGTCCGGGAAATAGTCCCGGGCGTCTCGTCAATAACGCTCACGATCTATATACGTCGAAGGCGAGTAATTGCGAACGAGACGAGTCACGAAACGTACACGGTGCCATAAATTTGCCCGGCCGCGAGGAGGGCGCCGCGACTCGACGTGCGCCACGTTTCTCCTTATTTTTCCTTCCTCCTCCGGGCGGCGTCTCCGTCCGCCGCGCCGCGCCGCGCCGCGCCGCGCCGCCGCGCGCCTTCGTCGTCATCGAAATGATTATAAACGAGACGTAACGAGAGCCTCCTTAAAGCTATCAGCGGTGCAGATTTATTATCGCCGGCGACGAGCGCGCGCGCGCGCGCGCGCGTTCGCGAATCCCTTATTCCATAAATACATTTATTAGACGCATTAATGCGCGCGAAAAGGAAAGAATAGAAATCTCGTCCCGCTCGGACTCACCACTCGGAGTGGCGCAATGATTGCGCGCGGAGAACGAGTTTTCTCCGCGGAATACGGCAGACAGAGACGGGGCAGAGGGAGGCGTATCCAACATTGGGAAGCCCAATTAGCGATCGTGTCGATTGAGATTCCGGCCAGCTCATTTCCTTGCCCTTTGAATATTATTAGAGCGCCGGCCGCCGAGCGGGAATATATGGAAATCGCAATTACGCGAAACTATCGCGAGAGGTCGCTGATAAAATCCGCGATGCGGAGGCGAGAAGCGTTTTCAGTTGTAAGCGCAGCGAGAGGTGGTCGCTCCCCGAATGTGTACGTGAACGTTATTCGTAATAGAGAGAGCGCGGCCGACTCCGACGCATGACGCGTCACTTCCGTCCGTCCGTCCGGCCGATGCGCAGCGCAGCGCGCGGACTCGGTGTCGACTCATCGTCCATTCGACGATACAAGATCGCATCGACTTGGCTTAAACAAGAAGTTGATGTTAAATAAGATAAACTCAACTGTGTGTAGCGTAACACCTGCGGGAATTACAAGGCGACACGCTGACAAGGCCACAAGACAAGCGAGCGAAACTATCGGTCGAATCGTATAAAAGTATAGCGACAAGCCACAAGGGCGCAGGGTTGCGAAGCGCATCGACGAGAGTTGGCGGACGCCAGCAGGGAGTGTTACTACTCTCGCAAGAAGACACAGTCGACCTAAACTCGTTAACTCGAATGAAACTCCGCGGGACAGAGCGCGGGACGACTGGAGAGGAGCCAGCGAGCCGCGTGAATAACGACACGAGAGATATCATTGCGTGATCGCGTGAGCGTGCGTAAAAATGCCGCAGGCCAAATCGACGAGAGCGTCGCCGCCGCCGCCGCCGCCGCCGCCGCCGCCGTGACGGTGTGGTGGTGAAGGAGCGCCTCTCTGAAATCTCCTTCTCCCGATCGCAGCATCTTAACGGCGCGCGCGTTTGGATCCTGCCGCGCGAATCTTCATCCGATCCCCCGCTCTCGCTGCTCGTCGATCGAAGCTCCGGGGGCTTCGCGCGATTAAAAAGCGAAAATACCTTTTCCAAGGCCGATCGCCGATCGCCGATCGACGATCGGTAAGGAAAGTTGGGGTAATTGCGCATTCTTTAGGCTGGCTATGAATAGCTCCCGAGCCAAAACGCGTCAGATAACGCGTTCGTTTCTCCTACCCACCCCTGCGAGAGCCCCTCAATTAACCGCTCTAATGGTCGGCTCTAATCGGCCGCCTACTAACGTGCCGATACAAACGACTTCTCTCACAGCGTCGTCTTTCGCGCTTCTAGGTGGCGAGCCGCCGGGCACAAGAAGCATCGTCGCTTATTCGTGGGCACGGAGATTGGCACTCGATTACAGGCCCACCAAGCAGTGCGACGGTAATGGAACGCGCGAAATGGCGTTAAACGCCGCGTACAAGCCGCCCGGCACGAAGTGGCTCGAGACAATCCCGGGACAGCTCTTCCTGTACAGCGCCCACTTGGACCTCAGAGTCGCCGGTTACCCGAGCATCAGAGTGATTGGCGTTAAACGAGGAACTCCGCCGCCCTCTACGCTCTTCTGCACTATATGGTGAGCCATTTTTCATTTCGCGTCGCGACCCGTTATTCGCCTATACCCGACGAGAGCTGAACGTCGGTAGGAGGAATTATCGTTTCTCAAAGCGTGACCTAGCAGCATCCGTGTCGCCTCTGGAAACCTACGAGACCACGTCGACGACTCGGCTACAAATTAGCTCCCCCGGCAACAGCGGGATGAGCCCGGGATGAGCTCGTGAGGAAATTCGCGAGCCGCTTCCGCTCTCAAGCCAAGCGACCTTTTCATTCTCAAGACTTTTTATTGAAATCACGGTAGGGCGAGATGTCGTAAATGAAACTGTCACGGAAACTCGTCTCGACGCGCATCGGTTTCCGGCAAAAGTTCGGCAATTAAGAGCCCACGGATAGCCCACAAATCGCGCAACATTGCAAACGCATTATCACACGTGAGTGTATCCGAGAGAGAAATCATGTTTTCCCGCCGGCTTGGGCGAATTTTAGGCGCGAATTAAAACGCCACATTCGCGAGAACGCGAACACGGGGACGGGGGGGCACGATGCAAATGGTCGTAACGACGCGAAACAGAGTCCGCTCTTGCTTTTAACACGCACACAAAGGGTCGATGTTAGGGAGTGCTCTCTCCGCCACACGCGCGTCGGCCGTTTCGGCGCGCTGGAACGCCCGACGCATTAAGAACTTTATCGGCACGTGTACGCCCGCACACGATGGATTAAGCGATTTCGCGATTTCGTTGGATTTCGTTTTTCCAGGTACCGGGAGCACGGCAGGACGCGATCGGTGAGCGTGGAGGCCCTCGTCTCCACGATCTGGTTGAACGAATGGGGCGGCACGGAGGACAGTTACACCGGAGTGCTCGTCAACTGCCAATTGCCTCTGGACGGCTCGATACGCTCGCAGCCGTCTTGGGTTCACGTAGGACTAAACGGCTGCCACGCGAATGCTAGTCATAGTTTAACGACCCGCTCCGAATTCGCCGCCGACGAGCCGCTTGCGTCCGGCCGCAAGAGACGCCGCCAGCAGTTCACGCTGTGCATCAAGGGACTGGATTTCGACGAGGACATATCGCACAGGTTGATCGCCTTCGTCGAATTACACCGTATCCTCGGCGCCAAGCTCTTCTACTTCTACGTGTTCAATGTGCACGAGAACGTGCTGAAGGTGTTGCGCTTGTACGAGCGCTCGAACGTGGTGCGGTGGTTCGCGCTCGACCTACCGGGCGATCTGCCGAACGAGAAGTCGGCTAGGAGGCGGTTCTTCCGCGAGGACATCTGGACGAAGAGGCGGATGGAACTGATACCCTACAATCATTGTTTCTACGAGAACCTCCATCGCTCGGAGTTCGTGGTACCGATCGACATCGACGAGGCGATCGTGCCGACGCGCAGGAAAACCTGGCACGAGCTGCTGCTCGACGAGCGCGGCAAGCTCGGCAGGAGCTTCAAGGACTTCGCCTCGTACTCTGTACGCAATGCTTATTTCTTCCCCGAGCTGCAGAACAAGAGCCAGAGCGATCAGCTCGCCGGCGCCGACCGGCGGCGGCGGCAGCTCGTCGGCCGCGGTCGCTCGGCCGACCCTTACCCGGATTACCTGGACACCATGCGAACGGCCAGTATCTCGCCCGAGGGCGACTCGGTGAAGAGCTTCGTCTCCACGAGGCGCGCGCTAACGGTGCACAATCATTATGCCCTGACCACGCTGAACCCGTCCACTAGACGGGCTCATCATCTGGACTCGAACGACGTACTCAAGCACCACCACCGAGCCTGCGACAGCAGACATCTCGACTGCGATCTCCTGATGGAAGACGTTAGAATCGACGAGTCCGCTCTGCGCTACGCGGACGAGCTCAAGACGAGGATGAAGATCGCGCTGGCCGATCTCAACGCCTTGCCATAGACTACAGTGATGTTGTAAATAATAAAAAGAATACCATGCCTGCCCGAAAACGCGTCCTTTGGACTTCCCCCGAAACGTCCCAACGTCTCGCGCTAGTTCTCTCTCCTCCTCGGTGACGAGGTACTCGAGGTACCGATGCGACGATGCGCGACTGTAATTTCAGCACGTCGAAAGTTCGAAATTACGTTCAAACATACTTTCGTGTGCGTCGGCGGGCGGTGTAACGACGATGTAACGATCGCGTGGCCGGCCGCAATAATCGGTGGCCTCTGAAAGGAGCTGGTGCGCAATCTTTCCCGAACAAAGCACGCCCCAGCGCGCAGAACGACATCGTATCTGAATTGCCCACAAATCTGTTGTAATGAATATTTAATCAAAAACTTTTTTCACTTCGCCAGCAAGAATCCGGAGTAAAAGAAGAAAGGAAAAGAAGGAGAGCTCCGGGTAATCCCGTTAAAATTAAATGCTCAAAGAGACGATTTCACTTCTTCCCCTCCTCGAAGCGCGAAGAGAGATAAGTCTAGAAAACGAGAGCGTTCTCGGTCGGGAAGCAAATGGTCCAGGAGGGACAGTAAAAACAATGACGACGGTTTTCGAGCGTAGCGCGCTCCAGATTGTTGCGGCGGCCGGACACGGTAATTGGAAAAACGTGTAAAACAACGAGCACCAGAGAGCACGAGAGCTCGGCGCTCTTTCAGTCGTGATGTTTGAAATTATCGCGGCTGGACGCAATAATTGGAAAGCATTTAAAATGACAAAGACATGCTTGATGGCCTCTCAAGATTGTTACAGCCGGGCATGATAATTGGAAACCGTCTAAAACGACAAAAGCAAGGCTGATGGCTTTTCAAGAGCGCGAGCGCGATGCTTGGAGTGCTTAACTCGCTCCCGAAGATTCAAACGCTTTAAACAGCCGGCGGGGGGGGGGAGGGGGGGGAGGGGAGCCGGCTTTCCGCGCGGCCTCAACGACGTCTGACACGTTTATCAAATGAAAGACGAACGCGCTATTTACGCGAAAAGGAAGGCACAAGGAAAGGTAAGAGTCTCTTGAGTTAACGAGTACGTACGAGGAGCGAACGACTTTATAAAGCGCCGCATCCATCATGCTCGGTACGTGCGAACGACAGTTTCAATCTCGCTAAAGTGGCGGTTCGGTGGTCATCCATTAGCGCGCTAAGACCTCGCTCTACACTCTATGGGTCAACCTCTGCGCCTTAAACAGCCCGCGGGGAGGATTTCTATCGACGTTGTTATCGACTGATTAGATATCGCGGATCGAGTATAAGTCGCGACGGCGATGGTGGGACGTCTACGCGCGCGTATTTTTCGTAGATAATATCGAATAGAGCGACGAGGCGAGAAGAGAAGCAAGGCGCGAGAGGCGAGACGAGGCGAGGCTACTCTCTCAGACAGCACGCGTACTTGAAATGAAAAATAAATCCTGAGAAGGCGGCGGCGGCAGCGGCAGCGGTGGCGGAAGCAAACAAAGCTATGACCGTTCAGAGCACGAACGCGATTCTCTCAGATAAGTTTTACGATCCGTATCCAGCGCAGCGCGAGTGTGCGATCAAGCTCGTAACTAGGTTTAATAGATCATAAGGAAGTGGTCGTATCCGCATTCCCTGAAACTTGTTACATGAGACACAAAGATAAAAGTGGAATGCCATTTCGCCAAGAAGTGAGAAAAGAAGAGAGAGAGAGAGAGAGAGAGAGAGAGAGAGAGAGAGAGAGAGAGAGAGAGAGAGAGAGAGAGAGAGAGAGAGAGAGAGAGAGAGAGAGAGAGAGAGAGAGAGAGAGAGAGAGAGAGAGAGAGAGAGAGAGAGTAAGTGAGAGATAAGTAAGTTCACGGAATGCTGGAATTATTCGCGTACATTCACGGCGTTCCGGACAGTCCTCAGGGTGTCGGCCGACCGACTCTTCAAACGCCGACTGCTGCAACTTCGAAATGAACCGGAATAACCAAACTCGCGAACTTACGGCGGAACATGCAGACGCGGGCAAGTTTTCCGTCGTATTTCCCGGGACTTTACTGATCTGTCGGCGCTACAACTTGGACGTTTAAGGCGACAAGTTGCCAGAAAGTAGCGGGCAATAGGTACGCAGATCAAGATCGCTCTAGTTCCACATAATAATAATAATGTATCTTGTAAGAGGGACAGATCGCCTGATGATAAAGTATCGTTCAAGTGGATCTTGCTTGGCCGACAGCTGCGTTACGCGGACTTATAATTACACCGTGCAAGACTTGTTCGCGATTTTTCGCCACCGGCTCGAGATAAGCGGTCGCGCAGTCGATCCGAACAAATCAACCCAATCGAACATATTCTCTTATCGGTTACCTTCGCGTTCTTTGCAAATCTATTCCATCGATCTCGTGAGAGAGATCCGAGATAACTCTGCGTGTTAATACTTTTTTGTTCCGTTGAAACTTTAGCGTCTTCTCTTTCTAAGAATATTAAATTCTACACAACTTTCACAAAGAAATGTGCAGCGCCTTCACAGCGCTGTCGTAAAAAGTGTCTCATCAACATAATAACAAAGGACTCGTTATAAAACGTATGAGGTAGGTCACGACTGTATTCTGAAGTATATACTCGCAGTCCAGTCACACGGTCAAGCGGTCAAGCGCTCCATATTCATGGTTAGATCGAATTGCGTCATGGAGATTTCACGATCAGTGCGACGCATTGTGAAAGCAGAACATCGGATATATGAGTTAACGTGGCGACGACGCCGCGCAATTTCGGGAATTAAAATTTCGAGCGCGGCAGCGTCCGAACGAAACGAAACGTATGGTAAATCTCATTATATTCTTTAGCCTCATGCACGTTAACGTGCGTATCCCTTTACTGATTTATATCCGCGGCGTTTGAGTTACAACTTTTTCACCGGACTGACGAGGTAATCTCGCTAAGTCACGCCTGAGGGGCCCCATTGAGAGAGCCGCGCGCGAGCGCGTTCGCTCGCTCGCTCGCTCGCTCGCTTGCTCGTTTGCGCGCTCGCGCGCGAGCCGTGTTAATTCGATCGCGGAATATTTTCGAGCGACACTGCGCGAGCCGTGCTCCAATTTAACAAAGTATCCGCGAGAAGGCGTCCGTCTGACAACACGTGATAAAATTCGCACCGGTGTCATTTACTTCGCAGCACGCCGCGCGTAAGACCGATCCCGAATTAATACGGCGATAAATCACGCGGACTTTAAGAGACGATGCGTTTAGAGGGAGCACGCGCTCATCGCTCGCCTAAATTTATCGGCGCGTCGCGCAGCGGGCACCCGCATCTCTCTCTCTCTTCGTGTTCCGTCAACGACGACGACGACGACGACGACGACGACGACGACGACGACGTCGGAAATTTCACCCCTCTCCCCGCAAAGAGCGCGCGCGCGTGCACACACGCACACACCTGTCCCCTCCTCGGCAACACCCTCGCGGCCAGACCGCCAACTCGCTCGAGCCGTTATTCATGAAGGAGAAACAACGAGACGAGAGCTGTGTTATTGCAGCCGCGCGCCGTCGAAAATGAACGTATATGAGCGCCGACCTCGACGATGACGTCGCTCTCGTCGCGGATAATCGCCGCGAGTGAGCACATTTTTACGACGCTCTCCTCTTCCTCTCTCGCACTTTCGTCACCCGAAATCCAGGTCGCGTCTTGAGAGAGATCGAGTCCTCTCCTGCGCCTGGCTATCTCTCTCCGTCTTTGCGTCATCAGACATTCCCCACCTCCCTCATCCAACCGGCCAAAGTCGTATCTCATTGTCTCTACGACGCTTCCTTGAGAGATTGTTGCGACCAGCTGATCGCAAGCATAGTAAAGGTAGGTCAGTTTCTCTCTTGCGCGATGGGGGTAAATGCAACGATAATGCGGAGACGGTTCCGCCCCGAGAAACGAGCTGGAATACTGCGCGGGACCGCTGTTCCCCGTCGCGAGATAAATTCGAACGTTCAATTTATTCTCACATACCTTCTCACTCGTACTAGCGCTGCCTGCTGTTCCGATACGAGAGACGACGACGACGCGCGAGGCTTGGAAGCCTCGCTCGCCTCGCCTCGCCTCGCCTCGCCTCGCCTCGCCTCGCCTCGCCTCGCTCAACGACGAAACGAACTTTTACGTTCGCGCTCCGCGCGCAGCCGCGCCAAAGACAAATACGGCGATCACGTGATCGGTGGAGGTACCATAAATCTCCATGTAAACGCGCGCTTGACATAAACCGTAGACGCCGGGGGTTAAACTTGATCTCGAGACCTAAATCTGACTTTGCAGGAAGTGCTGCTGCACCGCGTTAAATTACGCGCGCCACAAACCTAATAAGAAGCACCGGCAAGCGCACGAGAGCACGCGACACGGGCGCCCACGTCGCGCTGCAAAAAGACCTAAAAGCGCAGCTTTCGCGTTTCGTCAGATATCTGCAAGCATGCGCCTGCCATCCGCCGAAGCGAGAGGGAGCGAGAGAGAACGAGAGAGAACACAGAGAGAGGGTTGATCGCAAGTAAGCAGCACGTGCGTAGCAGTCATCCTGGCGCATTCGCCAGGACCGCTCGTTCCTCCGAGGTTATCTCTGATCATCGACCATTGTTATCGACTGTTATCGCGCGTAATAAACATCCTCGTCGTCGCTCTCGCGCAAACTCGATTGACGGCCAGCGATGTACGCTCTTTTTCGCTCTTGCTCGCTCTCAGGCAAACGTAACTTAAATTTCCGATTGCTCGAATCTCGATGCGAACTCGTCTCGACGATTACACCGACGAAATTTCTCACGAGTAAAAGAGAGAGAGGAGTAATGTGTATGCAGGTCGATCAGAGCTTGAGATGAAAGACGCTCAGAGATGAGAGACGGAGACTCTCTCTCTCTCTCTCTCTCTCTCTCTCTCTCTCTCTCTCTCTCTCTCGTCTCGATGAGATTTAATTTCACCGCGGTGCACTGGCACGGATTCACTTTGGTTAATGTCGGGCGCACACGAGTGGAAATACAGTGAACGTCGTAACAGCCATAAAACATGCATGGTTACCGCGAAGAATACACGTGCGCGCGTGCTCCGCGTGTATACCGCAGCGGGCAGTACGCGACTCGCTCGCAAATCGTTCTCAAGTATTCTTCG